GAAATTGATCAACGATAACAATAGGGTTCTTGTCAACTCAATAATGACAATAACAAAATAAATAAATCAAACAGAGAAACACGAAAATTTACGTGGTTCGATTCAATTGACCTACGTCCACGGGCGAAGAGGTAGCAGATTTACTATGACAGAAAGAGAGTACAAAAGAGAGAGTACAAAATCCTTAGGAAATAATTCCCAAGTCTAAAAGACACCTAAAACTGAAAACACAAAAGAGCCTAAATAGCACTAAATGCTTAATGGCCCAAAGGCCCGTGACTTGCTCTTTTGGTTTGATGCCAAACCAAAACTCCTCTCAGATTGGGGCCCCGGGCCCCCAAAATCTCTTGGACTGGTGTACATGGCACTTGGGTTGGTGCCCCTAGCACACTTAAACTCACTTAAATCCACTATATTTATAACAACCACAAGGAGAGATTTCTTTGTTAAACTCCCGATGTGGGATACAAGGGCACATTCAACAAATCTCCACCTTGGCGTGTATCCAACATCGGCAAATAACAGACAAATAGCAAACAAGCTGCACCTTCTCCATAAAAGTTCCAATGGATCTCAATGAACCACAAAAAATCCCAACAAACCACAACGAGCCACCAACGAACCAGAATGCAAAAGGCTCAACAGGTTCCAACGGGTTAAATCTCACAAAAGGTTCAACAGATCCCAACAGGCTAAAAATCATGAACATAGTAATCTTACTCCACCTTAATCTCAAAACCCTTAACGAGTTCCAACGGGTCAAATAACTCTTCTTCAAAATCCAACTGAACTCCAATGAAATTTTTTTTCTTTCACTCTCCATAGCACCCAAAATCTGTTATTATCATCAAGAACCCAAAATCTGACCATGACCCAAAACCTGAATCTAAATTTGGAACCTGAAGCTCTGATACCAATTTGTTAAGTCTGGTCCTAAGAAATTGATCAACGAGAACAATAGGGTTCTTGTCAACTCAATAATGACAATAACAAAATAAATAAATCAAACAGAGAAACACGAAATTTACGTGGTTCGATCCAATTGACCTACGTCCACGGGCGAAAAGGTAGCAAATTTACTATGACAGAAAGAGAGTACAAAAGAGAGAGTACAAAATCCTTAGGAAATAATTCCCAAGTCTAAAAGACACCTAAAACTGAAAACACAAAAAAGCCTAAATAGTATTAAATGCTTAATGGCCCAAAGGCCCATGACTTGCTTTTTTGGTTTGATGCCAAACCAAAACTCCTCTCAGATTGGAGCGCGGGCCCCCAAAACTCTCTTGAACTGGTGCACATGGCACTTGGGCTGATGGCCTTAGTACACTTAAACTCATTTAAATCCACTATATTTATAACAACCACAAGAAGAGATTTCTTTGTTAAACTCCCGATGTGGGATACAAAAACACATTCAACATATACCACAAAAGAAAATCTTGGAATTGATCGCTTACCCCATACTAGATTATACCGCATGACCTGTGGCATTGATTTGCAGCTCACCAAAGACTTGCTTCACAATAAAGGAACCAGAAGCACCGCATGGCATGTGATCTGACATATGAACTCTAGGGAGAAATAGAGGAGTAGTGCTTCAATCAATCTCCTAATCTCAATATTTCTCCTCCTTCCAGCAGGCCATGCCCACTTGCCATCAACAATAATAGAAGATACTTAGCAGATAAAGAACTCTCACAAGCTGCAATAGTATGAGGTGAAACCATATCTAGCAAACATGCCTATAGGATGCCAAAAGTCATGCCACAGGAAAAAATCTTTGCCATTTCTGACAATGTATTTAATAAATGGTTTTGCCAAGCCTCTAAGTTCTAATTTTGTTCCTCCAGCACCAAGAAGTATCTCTTGGAATTTCAAGCTCCCAAACAGATTTATCTTTAATCTTATGCATATAAACCCGCCTAATCCATAGATGTCTTTTTTTAAATAAATTGACCAAAGATGTTTTAGGATTAGACATTTGGTCCATACATCCAACCTTCGAAGTCCAAGCCCACCTTCCTTTACTGGTTTACATCCAACCAAGAGACCTTGGCACAATATTTACCATTAGCGGCCCCTGACCACAAGAACGCAGCTGGGATACTTTAAATCTTGTGTATGATAGCCGGTAGAAGTATAGACAGAACAGCAATAAATCTGAATGCTGTATAAAACAGATTTTACCAATTGCAGCCTTCCACCATAGGTTAATCTTTTGGTTATTCACCTTTTAATCATGGCTGCAAGTTTCTCAATAACAATCGCAATCCACTGCCCTTAGTGGAGAAAAGAGAAGAGGAATACCCAAGTATTTCACAGGGAGATATCCTTCTTTCATTCCCAAATAGGAGCAGATAGACGAGCATCTTTGCTCAGAAACACCTGTCATAAAAACCTCACATTTTTTCAAATTTGGCTTAAAATCAGAGAGTTCTTCAAAACTATGCAGTACCTATTTTATCACATTCATGGACTTATCAGGGGCAGCTATAAACTGGTCATCAGCAAAACATAAATGGGAGAGTTGCAGTTTGTAACATTATGGGTGAAAATCGAAACCATATTCCTTAATTTTGAAATCCAACAAAGCAGCAAACACCTTCATCACAAGCAAAAACAGATCAGAGGATATAGGATCCTCTTGTCTAAGCTCTTTCTTACTTTTAAAGAATCCCACTAATGAACAATTGAGGTTTAATGAGAATTGAGCTGTAGTGAAGCACTCCGAAACCCAACTTCTAAAAAGATCACGAAACCCCCATAAATTCCATCACCTCAGGATAAAATCCCATTTGACAGAATCATATGCCTTCATTAAGTCAATCTTCAAAGCACATCTAGGTGATTGATCTATCTTTAATAATGGCACTGTGGTTTGCTCTAATCAAAGTTGGTAACACAGCTTTCAACATCTCTGTTAAGACATTTGAATAGCATTTATATAGTGCATTGCAGCATGCTATGGGCCTAAAATCTTTCATAGACAAAGGAGTCTCAACCTTAGGGACTAAGGTAAGAATGGTGGAATTGAGAGGATCCTACATATACTGATTCTGAAAACAAAATAGAACAGTCTCCACAAATTTACTTTCTACAGGACTCCAATTATTCACAAAAAAATCAACAGTTTAACCATCCACACTGGAGCAGTACCCTCCTTCATACTAAACAATGCTTTCTTGATTTCTTCCTCAGTAACTGGAGCCATTAATAGAACCACTTGATTATCTGTCAACATTTTAGCTGCAACAGTTTGTAATAGCATATGGTGATACTCATTCAAAGGAAAAGAATCAGTAAAGAGGCATTTAGAAAACTCAATAGCTTCCTTTTGACATCTCCATAATCAGTTAAAAGTTTACCATGCTGATCATTAATGTCGCAATCCTATTTCTAGCTTGATGTTAAATAACAGACTTGTTAAAAAATGAAGTGTTTCAATCCCCTTCAGCAAGGCACTTGATTCTAGATTTGTCTTGAACAAACTACTCTTCCATAGTCTGCAATTCAGAATATTTAGAAATCAAGGTACTTTCAAGTTGCTGTAACTCATAGTTAAAGGGATTAGATTGTATGATATTCTGAACCTGATCCAATTTACTCTTAGCTTACAGAACTTTACAGTGGATGCCAGAGAAGTATTGCTGATTCAAATTTTTTAACTCAGCTTTTAACAATACTAACATAAGAGAACGTGCTTTGTATATTGCCTGATATCTTGCTTATGGTTAAGTTTAATTTAATAGTTATTGATTTGCAACATTGTTGTGTATGCATAAATTTTCAAGAGATGTAAAAAGAGGCACTTGAATTACAAATTTCAAGCTTTTCAGAAAGCTCATGAAGAACACGTTCCGTATGATCACAATGAGCGTCAAAGGGATCTAGGCTATTGTGAAGCTTTCAATGGCCATCCTGAAAGAAACCTTGCTTTGGTACTAACAAATGATGAACGAAGGTGTAGATCTAGGAAAGGTGTACACGAACGTACTCCTTCCAAACCTCAAGGGCGATACACGATCATTCCCCAAAATACAATATTCAATAAGATTCCTAGTTTTGAGCAAACCTAAGAAACATGGTAAAAGCCAACAGCCGAAGGAGTTTATTTCATATAATTGCCAAAAGTCTGATGTCAATAAACCCCTATTTATGCTACAATAGTCTAAGATAAAAAGGAAACAAATAACTCTAGAAAACGTAAAACTAGCATGAAATTATGACACTGGTTGCCATAAGATCCAGCCCCAAATCCAGTACTTGAGAGCCAGATTTTGGGCTGAATTGAGTCAGTAGCACATAACAAATCTAGGTCTAATCCAATTCAAGATCCAGCGTGCCTCCTCATGCAATCCAGCGCAGATTCATCTGAAATCTTGTCCACAGGTTTCTTTTCTCTCGCATGATCTCACAACTCGAATGCAACTAGAATATAACAATAATAGTAGTAATAATAAAAAGTACTACATGAGACTAGGATTAACTACTGCAATTTAGAACCCAAAGCAATTTCTTGAGTAGTTTTTTCTTGAGATATCATGCCAGGCCTCGGACCTGGGGGTCAATGTTCCATATCAGTAGTTATGTAGATGCATAAGTTTTTAAAGGTTAGTTTGATCTTGTCATTTGCATTCAACTGTCTGATAATTCCTTTGTATTCATGCTACTAGCTTGAAGGCTATCCAGAGGCAGACAGAATCATTGGCTTTGAGGATGCAGCTGATGACGTATTGAAACTTCTTGCTGTCAAATCTGAGGCGGAGGAGCAGAGCACATCCGAGGCAGCACAACAAAGTGAGTCGAAGCTAAAAGTAGTGTCAATTCATGGCATGCTTGGCCTAGGAAAGACGACACTTGCAAATAAGATCTTGACTGACCAAAACACTGAATATGAATTTCTTACTCGTATATTGGTTAGTGTTACCAAAAAATACGAGAAGAAAGAAGTGCTTCTTAGTATCCTAAGGTCATTGAAGATCAGTATTTCGGATCAGAACATGTCAGAGGCAGACTTAGTTAACAAGGTCCGAGATGGATTAAAGTACAGGTATTTGGTTGTGGTGGATGATGTTTGGGAGGGAGAACATTGGGACAATCTGAAGGGTGCTTTCCCAGACAACAACAATGGTAGTCGGGTGATAATAACTACTCGAGAAGTGCGTGTTGCCAAATATGTTTCACCAAAGTGTGAACCCTACCAATTGCGATTTATGAAGCCAGAAGAGGCTGAAGAATTACTAAGGATGAAGGTTTTTGAAGAAAATAAATGTCCAGAGGAACTGAAACCCATTGAAAGGTTGATTCTGGAAAAGTGTGATGGGCTACCACTAGCAATAGTGGTGACAGGAGGTATCCTTAAAGCCAATCCAAAAGATGCAAATTGGTGGAAGGATGTGCTTGATGAAGTTCCTCCATTAGTTGATAAAAAAAGAGTGGAACGGATTGATCGTTACATAAGACTAAGCTATGATAAATTGCATCACGAGGTCAAACCGTGTTTTCTCTACCTTGGTGTCTTCCCTGAGAATTTGGAGATCCAAGTCTGGAAAGTGTTACAATTGTGGATCGCTGAAGGGTTTATTCCCCAACACGAGACAGCAAGTCTGGAGAGAATGGCAGAGCAATATTTCGGGGAGTTGGTTGATAGGAATTTATTGATTGTGGGAAAGAGAACTTTGAGTGGTAAGATAAAGACTTGTCGCATCCATGACACGCTGCGTGACTTCTGCAAGAAGACGGCCAAAGTAGAAGATCTTTTCCAAGCAATTCACAAGAATACCAATCCATCTTCCAGCCGTCGACTTTGTTGCATTAACGCTCAATTTTCGGAGTATATTCTTGGAGGACAACCTGCTGATAAAGTTCGATCATTCTTGAGTTTTGGTCAGGATGACACTAAGTATAACGAGGATCCCAGCTCAAGTATATTTAAGCCCTTCAAATTACTCCGAGTGTTTGATATTTCATCCATATACATTAACTTCCATGGCCGCTTCCCCACCAAACTACCCAACCTTGTTCTCCTAAAGTTCATTGCCATCAATTTCAACCTCAAAAACTTACCCAAGAGCATGTCTAGCTTACGTAACTTGGAAGCCCTTATAGTTCACACAACTGAACCAACCCTAGATATACAAGCAGACATTTGGATGATGACAAAGCTAAGGCTTCTACATACTAATACCACCGCATCCTTGCCGAAGTGTCATGATCAATCCTCCAGCAGTGAATACTTACAAACTTTGTCCACCATTTCGTCTCATAGTCTCACGAAGGAAGTGTTTGAAAGGACTAAGAAACTCAAGAAGCTTGGTATAAGTGGGAGTTTAGGCACTCTAGTGAAGACCAATGGTGATTCTGATTTGTTTGAATGTCTTTGCAGACTAAGCTCCCTTGAAAATTTGAGGTTACACAGTGATGAGTCCAAGCTGCTTGCCCTTCCTCAACCAGATAAATTTCCAAAAAACCTAAAAAGATTGAGTCTGCATAAGACCGGTCTGGAATGGAATAATCATATGCCTATTCTCGGAGGGCTCCAGTCTCTTGAGGTTCTCAAGTTAAAGGATAAAGCTTTTGTGGGAGTAGAGTGGAAGACAGAAAAAGGGGGTTTTCGTTCTCTCAAAGTTTTGTTCATTGGAGACACAGATCTAGAGAATTGGGAGGTTAAAGCAGATGATCTCCCAGAACTGAGATGGCTTATCCTCAAGCATATCAAATCTCTTGAGCAGATGCCATCCGACTTTGAACACATGAAGAACCTTGAAAGGATTGACCTGGAGCGTACCAATAGGTGGCTAGTTAAATCTGCCAAGGACATTCAAAAATCAAGGCCACAAATTAAGCTCAGTGTTTATCCTCCAGAAAAGTGATCGCTGACTAACGATGTTCTGTAAGTGCTTCTTTTACAGGTTAGTAAAACATTTCTACTTACACTACTAAATCTATTTCTTAATGCAATATCATCGTGCGTGAAACTGAAATTTAACCTGTTTTGCAGAATATCATGCTCACCTGCTTTTGTCTTCTGCTCCCTTGAATGAATTCTTAAAAAGGAGGCGCTGAAGCATCTATCTTCTTCATGTTTTCTTCTCTGTTCTGCCTTAATAAAGCCTATCTGCCTAGCTCTGGCCAGCAACATTCAGCTACTATATAACCTCTTTGAATTGTTTTTGTTTCAATATCTTTGATAATGTCAAATTTTCTTTTCAACAAGTGTATTGCGATGAAAATAAGGCCACAGATCTCTTGGCGAAATGTGTGCTAGAAGAACAAGGTGAGAAGGTATTTGTTTCTGCATGGAATCTCAGCTGGATCATATCTAGAACCTCATATTTTCTTCCTGTTGGGAGGTTGGGTTTAGTTCCATAGTCTTGCTTCCTTGTATTTTTAAGTTGGGGTGTGAACTTTGAATCTTTTTTTTTGTACGCTTCATACTTTTATTGATAAGCTGTTGAGTTTACACAAAGATTGGGGGCTTCCCATACCAATTTATATCACAGATTGAACAGTAATCCAACTCTATTGCTAAACTATATTATTTACAAAAGAATGGGATCAAATGCAGCAAGGGAAACTCCAAATTCCAATCATACCTCCAGATTTTGCTGAAGCCTAGGTATAGGTCTCCATCCTAGCACAATGCTGCGAATCTCTCTAATTACTTGATTGCTGACAGCAGAGGGAGAAATTTGAAGGCTACTATATATCTTCTGGTTCCTACTTCTCCAAACAGCATACTGTAGCAACAAAAGCTACACGTTTCATACAAGAAGCAAACATCCCTTGAGAGCCATGGTTGACCATCCACTGCAGCTCCTCACTCCAGCTTTTAGGATCTCTGTTTATCTTTCATTTCCTCAGTACACACGACCAAACAGAGGTAGGGTATACTGACATCCCCATGCTAGTAAGCTATCCTTTGTTGATAACCCATTTTGACATGCCAACCACAGAATAAAAGAGTACCTTAGAACATGCTTCTCTCCCCATACCAATTTACTTCAAGAAACAGAAGGGCTAAGAGTGGTGAGCAGCTTATATGCAGAACTAGCAGTATAGCAACCTTTAGAATCAGCTGTCCATACAGCAGTATCAATTGGGTCAGGCATAGGAACAAGTAAAGGCGGTGTAGCATTCACTAGTTGCACTACTTCAGCTGTGTATCTTCTATCAGTAGGCCAAACCCATTATCCATTTTGAATAATGGAGGATACTTTTGCATCTGCAGCATGGTTCGCCATATCAGCCGATACGTATCGTAACTGTAATGGAATTATGGATATTACCATATCCGCGACGACTCGTTCTGACTCAGACGATATTGATCGATTTGAATCCGTGATACATAATATCAACCGATATATCCGAGTCAACTTTGAGTCGACTCGGATATTTTTTTAAAATTATGCATTTTTTGGTATTTTCTAATTTTAATAATTTTTTTAAAATTTTTGAAAACTTTCATGTGTTATAATGTGCGTACCACCCGATAATCAACCGATATGCTGCGATGGATGTAGAACAACCCGAGACCGCGATGCGACCGCGACCCATGACGGTGAACCATGATCTGCAAAGCTCCTAAACAAGTGAATTATGCGATCAGGAAACGCTTGGAGTAATGGTCCAAGAGGATGCCACCAATCATACCACAAGTGTGTTCTCTGCTCTTCTCCTATTACCATTTGGATATATTTCCTGGCAAGAGGTTTCAACTTTAATACTTTGCACCAATTCCAAGATGAGGAGGCACTTGGTTGAATAGCCCAAAACCTTTTGCCTTTCAGTATATAAGCATGCACCCGCATAATCCAGACAGTCCTTCTTATGAAATATATCCCAAATATGCCTGATCATCAAAGCTTTGTTTCAATCTTTCAAACTTTTGAACCCCAAGCCACCCTCAGAAGTAGACTTGCAAGCTTCCCTCTGATGTACTTTCTCCTTGGTATTGTCTTTCTTTGGAAAGAAAGTATACCCAACCAGTGAAGTTAAGTTCCATGTCTTTTGCTCCTCAGATTAACAATACTTTCAGGACAGTAATGGATTGGATTCAAGTGAGTTTTTCACCAAATGTTCATAGCAATCAACACCTCATCTATTCGACCACTTTGTTTCCGACAATATTGCATCAGAAATTCTGATAGTATGTCATCTATGCAACTAGGATTCTGTGTCATTCTTTCACCTTTCCGAAATTTTATGCAAAATGGTTCTTAAGCTTGATTTTACTTTACCAAAGTTGCAAAATTAATTTCTCGAGTTTCGTTGGACCATTTAGAAATTAGATCTGTCATTGGTATCTACTTTTCAAAATGTTAGCTAAGAAGTTTAATTTCATGCACGTGTAAAGTCATTTGTGCAGGAACAGTTACAACAAAAATAGTGACGCTTGCTGAACTGAAATTTCAGAACTGCAATAGCACAGAAATATTCGTATAACATTCATCATGCACTGAACCATTACACATTATCTGTAATTTATGTATGACAGTTTATGAAACATGCATGTACGTGGGACTATGATATACCTTTGATCCCCTCCAATCTGAGCAAACTTCAAATATTTCACGAAAGTGCATCAGTTTGTTAATTGTTATAAAATAGAAGAACTTACCTTGGTCATAATTCTTCTCCGTACCTGCTGGTCTTGTAGCCTGAAGATTCCAAATTTGTATGTTTCCATTCGTCAGATCTTTATGGAATTTTCACCAGCTCTGATATCATAACATTCACTACTAAAGTTTTGAGTTTAAAGTAAAAAACGGAGATTGACACATGCTAACTTTTTCTAACTTTGGAAGTTTGTGTTCTGCTGCCCATAACACAATCAAAAGCACACTTCTCTTGCCCAACAACTATTTGATGCCTTTTTTTGTTGATAAAAACAAGTCATTCGTTAAATCTACGCTAATGGCCGAAATTATAACAATTATACATAGATACGAACAAATCTAAAGAACAAAATTAGATACTGCAGATTTGAAAAGTTAAGAGAATTTTACACTTTGAAACTCGAAAAATACCTTAAAAAATGTTATAGTCCCACGATCGTCTATTTTTGCAACTATTTAAAGTTAAAAAAAAATCTTTAAACCCCTTTGATGGCCCTCCATATAAGGGTGGATTGTAATTTGTAGTAATTTAGTACCTTGGTAATCAAGATTTTTGTTGTACTATGCAAATCAACTTAAAACCCAAAAGAATTTCGTAAAATATTATGGATTGAGATTAGGGATGTCAATCGGGTCGGGTTCGGGTTGGCGGGTCGGGTTGAGGCTTAAGTATAATAAGAAACCTGCTGACCCGAACCCGACCTGCCAACCCGAAACGGGTCAGGATACCTGACACGAACCCAAAAATTTCGGGTTGGCGGGTCGACCCGAAATGACCCGAAACTTAATTTTAATTTATTAATTTATCACTGTAATTTCTAATAAAATCAAATTTTCACAAAATTAATTACATCATCAAGTAATAAAAATTTAAATAAATAATTTCAAACCAAATCTAAAATAAATTAAACACCATAAAAGTGTTTTATCCCAAACCAAATATAAAATAAATTAAAACAGCATAAAAGTAAAAAATAACATAATATATTATTTGTCCAAATATAATAATTTTAACTTCACACAAGTTAAATAAATTCATTTAGGACTAAGTAATTAATGTCTTTGGAAAAAAAGAATGATTTAGTTTAGTTAGATAAAATAATTTTAATGTTTATTAAATTAGTTTTAATTCGTAAACGGGTCACATCGGGTCATATCAGGTCACCACGGGTTGACCTGAAATTGACCTGTTTTTTTTTCGGGTTCATCGGGTCCGACCCGATTCTGACCCGAACTCCCGAAACCTCAATCCAAACCCATTAATTTCGTGTTAGGTTCGTATCGTGTTTTCGGGTTGTGTCAGGAATTGCCACCCCTAATTGAGATGACTTTAGAGCCCTTTTAATGCATATGAGTATTTTGAGAAAAAAATTAATTTAGGGATGTAAATGTCTTTTCATCCAAAAAAAAGTTAGCAAATTCATGGATTCAATTGATTTAAACACTACACCAAAATTTTGTAACTTAAGCTATTAAAGTGCAATAATATCTAGTTACAAAAAAGATCCTTGGTGGTTGTAATGGAAAAATTATAGTATGGCCCACATGTCGTTAGCCATCACTAGTTCAAGTTTTGCCCAAACCCATCACATTTTTTGTGGATTTAAATCAAAATTCAGACCCTGCCCCATGACTATATTGAGGTCCACTGTTAATTAATAAATATAAAATAGCATTTTAGCAATGTTAATAGCTGTTAATTCAATCCATGTTACCAGATAATAACGGCAAGATATTCGTTGAAAAAATTAACAAGGGGGCATGAGTAGACAA